AATCATGCTCCTTCTTAAGCCAGCTGTACCATGATTTGCACTCTGGGGCCTTACCGTTCCATCTGGACAGGAGGAAAATAATGTCTTTTTGTAGGAACTCAGTGTAATCAATGGGATTTACCCTGTAGGGCAGGAGATGGTCTGCAATACAAGTGGAAAGTTCAGAATCCTGAATTCACGTGTATTAATACACACTCATACTGTACATAGCAGCATGCACACAGAGGAGAGGACACAGAGTGCCTCCCTCTTGTTGAGCGATGGCTGTACTGTGCGTTTGTACAGTTTCTGAGAGATCTATGCCAACAATTTTACATACTCGATAAATGCATTCAGATGCTAAGATCAAGAAGTTTTGTTCACTTGCCTGTGCCCTTCATGCTGCTTTTCTCTGCTGCAAGATAATGTGGTGGTGATTTTATTTCAAATTAATGGTTCTGAATATGAAATGGCCCTGCTAAAAGCCTGCTGTCTTTTTGCTGTACTTTACTCCTTTTTTGTGATTATTCTTGATGCAAGTGGAGAGGGTAGCACAGTGAACACTCCAATATGTTTGCTCTTATCTCACTCTTTTGTAGCTGACTTTTATAACTGCCCTCAGCATGTGTGTTTGAAGAATCTTTAGTCAACTCATCTACCTTTACGTGGACAGCATATACAGCAGAGAAGATGAATTGAACATAGTCACCCTAGCCAGTGTTGAAGCATTTTGAAGAGAACTGCAAATAACAATAACATAAAAGGGAACTTTTTTAAGCCAAAGTCTGTATGTGACCAATTGATCCTTGAGGATGCACAAGATTATCTCTTTCCATTGCCTTAGCCTCTAAGATAAAGGGTGTGTCTGCACAGCAGTAACAGCTGAGGCTGACTTCAAGCTAGTTAACTGGAGAACTGCAGCAATTTAGTCATGGTAACAGGGTTCTATTTTGGCTGCAAAACACACTTGAAAAGTAGGGTGGATTAATAGTCTATGCTGGGCTCCTAATGCCATAGCTGTGTTGCTTCTGGCACCCAAGCTAGGTCAGGTACATCAACAAGTTACTCTGCTCTCATTAAGGACAGGATAATTGCTAAGATTGTTCAAGATAGTTGAACCAAACACAATAAACCTTTAAAATCTTGGTCATCCATCACATCGCATTGAGCACAGCATCCAAGTGATGAGAGAACCAGGTAGCTGACAACACTGCAATGAGATCTGTGGTGGAACATCCTATCTATGCTGTCCCTCTTTATCGTAATGTTTTATTCTTTATTTGCCATTGCCTTGGGTCTTCACATGTCAAAGTCTGTGGGTAAAAAGTCACTAATGAGCAACAGTTCTTAAGGATAGCATTGAGTTTGATCTGGTTTTCCCCTCAGCTTGTTAATAAGTGAATTGTACGATTAGGCAGAAGGCAGTAGTTGTGTAATTAATAAAATGCGTTGTGTATTTGAAAGCTGTGGAAAGGAGGAAGCTGGTTAGGAAACAGAAAGAAGTGGCATATAATTTCACTGTAAAATAAGCAAGATCTACGAGCACCTGCATTTTAAAGTGGATCTTTATGTGCTGCTCACCTTTATGGACTTAAAAATCTCTCTTAAGGATGTGTAGAACAAAGAAAAGAAGGTAATGGGGGTTTGTGGAGGTCTTCGAGGTCGGAAACAAGAGGAAGACACCCTGAATGTAATGGTTATGTTGAACTGTGATACTTGCTAAGTGATAAAAGAGGCAAAAATGAAATAAAATGCTGTTATGCTGACAGAGGTCCTATATTTGATTGGAGGGAGAAAATGAAACAAGTTTTTAAAACTGAATATTGTAATTAAAATATGCAAAGTAGGAGGCTCTTGGTAACCACTTGCTAACAGGAAATAAATAAATCTGTGTTTCACTTAGATGTAGTACAACATCTGTGTCTGAAACATAACATAGCTAATGAATTACTAATAGTTGGGCATATGTATTTTCCAAGAATTGTTCAAAAATTGTGCAAAACTTCATATGGTCCTTATCAAGGAGAAAATTAAATAATGGGGAGTGGGGGTTAGAACAAGTTCAGGAAAATAAGCCAGTTTCTTTCAGATTCTCTGGATGCAACTGTCTTACATGTGAAGCATATTCTTCCTTGTCTATTTTTCCATTATGTTTCTTTTTCTGTATTTTTGCCTGAGTTCCTGATGTCTATCTGTAAAACTGATACCAATTTTTCTGAAGGAGAACTTGGCCTTGTTTATGCAGTAGCGTACAGTCAGATTAATTCCACTGTCCTCAGTGTTTACTGCAAGAAGATGACTGAGCACAGTAACAATGCAGTAACTACAGAAAAGATTTCCATTTCGATTTATGATAAAAACGGGCAGTGGCCCAATGTGCTAATCTGTAAGATGGCAGCATTTCCTCCAGAGCCTGCTAGCGTGTCCTGACTGTGGAAATAACATTTGTTCCCCTTCACCTAACTAGTAGATTCCAGATTCCAAATGGAGGAATTGGTTATATTTGCATGCCCTTGTCTGTCTGTCTGATCAGGTTGTAACCTTCAGGTTTTGAGTTGCTGCCTGCCCCTCCATCATCAAAAGAGCTCACCAGGAGGATGTAACAGTTGTTTCAAAATGTGTGTGAGATACAGATTGGTTTTGTGACAAATATAAAGGCCTTGGAAACATGATGTAGTAACACATGTTCCCATTTCTTGCTTAGAGATCCATGAAGGCTGTTTTTAAACACTTGCAGCCATAACAACTACCTCTTTTCTGTTTCTCATAGTACCAGTCAGCTGCAAATGTAGTGCCCGGAGTTTTGTGTCTCCACCAAGCTCTTAGAGTTGCTGCTGGTGCTCTTTCAGCACCCATCTGCTGCCAATAACTCGTCTGGCCGTCTACCACCATAATGCCTTCCTGCTTTAGTTGCTGAGGTAAACTTTAGCATATGAAATGGCCACCAAAGGGAAGCTATCCTAATTTCTTTTCATCTCCCTTGGTGTTTAAAAGCAGACTGCACACAAATACTTTGTATTTCCTCGCTCCCAACTGAGGGATAACTTTCAGTAGCAGTTATGTGGCTGCGGTGAAGAAACACCCCCAGGAAATGCTGCGTGCCACAATCGAGAGTGCAAGATCCCTCACAAAAATTAAATTCGTCACTCTTCACCTTTCAGTAAGGCCAGGCACCAGGCTCATGGATTCCAGATGTTTTATAGCCCCTTGGCTGCTACATGTGAACCTTCTGTTTGATAGAACCCTGTCCATAATCCAAAATCAACAAAAAAATGGTGTTTAAATGAGGGTCTCTCTTGCTCCGATAAATACTGGAAACAGCATCAAAAGCGGTTTTCAAAATAAATTTCTTTTTCTCTTTTGACCCCCTTTTATTGTAAATATCTGTACTGATTGACTCTGTCAGCAAAACGTGGCATCAGATTTGTAGGTAGACAAGACTTTGGCTTTAGCTTAATAGAAAGTCACGTATGAATATCTAGATAAGAGTTCATTCCCTGATTTAACAGAAATGTGGAGTCAGAGTCTTGATGTGACTGAACAGCAAGGGCTTCCTGCAAGGTGCTCCATTCCCCCTCAAGGTACTGGATAATGCAGCAGGACAGCACCATAAATCCCTGGTGTGCTGTGCTCTGAACATACCCTGGAGAACGCTAAAAGCCACTGAGAAGTCGCAAGTGAGGACCACAGCATCTGCTGCAAACCTGAGGGGCGCGATGCTGCTGTGGGTGCGGTACGCGGCTCCTTTTGTCAGGCACCCACTCTGCACCGGCGTCCCCGGCAACTGTTGAAAATGATTTGCAAACACTTGAACGACATTCAAGGCCTGCCTTTCTTTTTTTTGAATGGGGCAGCAGCTGGCTAGCTGGCATTTCAGATGCGATCCCAAGAGGTTTTTGGCAAGCAGTTTAGTAGTTATATAGTAAGTAATTCAAGGAGTTTCAGAGATGTTGTATAGTTTTACGTTTACTCAAAAAAAATTAAAATTATTTCTAATTAGTCCATTTCACATTGAGTGGCAGATAGAGATATATTTTGTTTAATCACTATCTAATACAGAGGCTTCTGTGAAAGAAAAGGTTTATTTGTAGCATTGGGTGCATTTCTCCTTTTTAAAGACTGTCTTTGCGCGTATAGTGTCCTTTTTTTGTGAGCTGGGAATTGTAAAAAAATGTAAAGTAGAAAAGGACGTGTTTCTTAGACGAAGGACAAATACTGTAAAATTGTGTAAATGTCACTACTCATGTTTTTTCGTGTTCTGTGTAGCATAGTGTAAAATAGGCTTTCCAGCAGTGTTATTCTGTGAATTGTAATTTAAAAACCAAGCGATGCGTGGTCAGAGATACTATTGACAGGTCCTTCTATTCGACTGAGTTTTTGGTTTCGTTTGTTGTTTTCCCATTTTAGGTAAATTTGTTTTATGTTCAATTTAATTGTCCATGAAACTGCATTTTTTGTTTCTGAGTTCTGTTTCATAAAGAACTTGAATTGCTCTTTAAGATTTTATTACACACGAAGCTCACCTACCGTTTGTATCGATCCTTCGAAGTTTTGTCACATTTAGTGTAAACCAGGGGGATTTTCTTTTTAACATACCCCTCATCTGCCTCTTCTCCCCCCACTTTCCCCACTTTACTGTCTGGAAAGATGCAGTCACACCTTTTTTTTCTTTTCTGTGCCATGCAGGGTCAATATGGAAAACCGACCACAGACCTGTGTCCAAAAGTTCTTGATATAAGTAGTTAAAAAGCTCACCTCTACAGCATTATGTAAACACATCTTGCAATAAAGCTTTATAAAGCACTGACTGGACTGGTTCTGGTTTTGTTGATGAAGCCAACCATGGGAGGTTTGGTGGGAAATGGGTGGGAAGGGGGATCGTGGGTTGTTTTTGTCATATGCTCTAAGTACCTGCAAAGCCACCATGAGGACCACAAAACGGCTGCCATTAAACCATCTGGGTGGGCTGATCATAAAAACCTGATCTTTTACCCCTTGTTTCACCGTTTGAGTCTAATTCCTGGTCTTGAGTGAAGAGATTGAAAATGTGTCTCTGGTTCTCAAGGATTTCAGTAATCTGGCCCTACAAATCCTCGCCAAACATTGAGGGTTCCTGCTTGCTGCCATTGGCTCGGAGTCGGTTCCTGTCTTAAAAATACTCTGTGCACGGAGCTCATTGCATAAAGGTATGAGATTTATAGAAGCAAATATAAATAAAATTAAAGACTACCTGCGTGCGGGGGAGCATTTCGGATTGCCTCTGCATCAAGACATGAAACTCTCGCCATGTCTGCCAGTGCTTCATAACTGTAAGAGCGGCCAGGAAAGGAGACGTGCCTTTAGCTTGGCTGAAGCACATTTCGTGTATCACCGTGGTGTGCAGTTTTCTGGTGGCCACCTATGAGTGTGCCTGGACAGGCAGTGGTCTTGCAATGTTCTCTGTTTGCTGGTGTCTGATTATTTTCTTGCAATTACCCAGCACTTGAGAGAGAGTCAGTTGACAACGGGACATCCCCGGCCCCACGGAGGGTGAGCCGTAGCCGAGGGACTCTTGCAGCTTCAGTGACTGCGATGAGGAGGGGGGTCAAAGTGACGTGTGGAAACTCAGAGTGCTCAGATTTCCGTGGCTAGTGCTGCAACAAGCTACTCACGAGTAACTGCTCTTTCGAGTTGCACATATAATAAGGTCAAACTACATTATTCACAGACAGCTACGCATGTTTACAGCGGCATCCTGGAAGGCAAAGTAGGTTAACTGAGAGTCCAAGAGAGAATTTTCACCTATGGTTTCTGAGATTGCAGAAGCTGATATAAAATGCTAGGTATGTAAGCCTCCATAGGGAATAACAGAAAAACACCACCTTCCTCCTTTTTAATTAGTTTTTAAAGTCATTTCAAATAAAAAAGGTGCCTTTTGGGATATGGCTGCATCCCTGAAAGAGCTGCTTAACATTCCAGATGCAATGGTGTAAAGTCTAGAGGATGAAAGGCCACTAGCCAGAAATGTGGTAATGCTTTTTAAAATAAATATATAAACCAAGTTTATTGGCCAGACACTTTTCTATCACAGCATATCCATTAGCAATTCTAAATTCCAGATGTGCAATGACAATGCGTACATATTTTTCAGACCTGGTGCCCAGTCAGAACTCATATGTTGTCACAGAGAAGCCCCTGGCCTGTAGTCAGGGAACGAGTAAGTATGCAGATTATCCATTACACAGCTGCAGGCGCTGGTTTATAGACTCTTCAGAACAGTGTGAGAACACACAACTAAAGAAAAAAAATACATTTTTTTCCAATTATAAATTCTCCAAGTTTTCTGATGGGAATGCAGTTTGGAAAAGGGAGAGTGCTGTTCTTAAAGCTTTACCTCTTGTGAGTTTCTTCGCAGGAAAGGAAGAATGACGGCTGTACTCTATTAGTCAACTATCTGATCAGACGGACCTCTGCTGGGAAATCCTGAAAGGAACACAGTCTATGTGAGGTTTCATGCCAGTGAGGGCCTCTCTGCCCAGCTCTTCCTGGATGATGTTTGAGCAGGACTCATCTGTCTGTGGAGGTCCTCTGCTGAATGATACTGCTTTTGAGTTCTCAGGAGTCAGAGGAGGCTGTTCTCCTCCCCAGTGCCCACCATTCTGCCGGCAAGCTCGCTCTCTTGCTTGAGCTGAGTCAAGAGCCTTTCATTTACTATTTATCTAGATCTATCTGGAAAACACTATGGAGCATGTCAATGTGCAGAAGACACGTACCAGCGCTGGGGAGTATGAGACCCTTTTGGTGTCCCAAATGGGACTCCTAGGTTCATGGGGCACATCCTGCACCATTACTTCTGCAATGATGACCAGAAATGCTTTAAGCATATGTTAAAATCTTACAAATAAGTTTTATAGCGCAGTCTTGGTAAGTGTTCAGATGTCTCTGCCTAGACAACAGACAAAATGACTAGCCTTAACTTTTATATATTTTCCTTTGTTTGATCCATGCTTAAGGTAATACAAGAAGAGCAGCAGTTAACAAGCAGCAAAGAAAAAGAAAATGCCAGTGAAATCCAGCAGCACTTGAAACTGGACAAACTTGAAGGCAAAGGTGAGGTCAAAGCCATGTCATAGCCTCCAGTAAACATTGTACTAGATCTGTCTCAGAGCAACATTAGCTAAGCCTGCCTTGAAAGAGCTCTGCATTTACTTAACAACCATCATTCGCAATCTTCTGCCTGGCGTGGGGAGCACAAAGCCCTTCCAGAGCCAGACAGGGCTCAGGTGAGGGGCTGACAGATGGCAAAGGCGCTGGAGCGTATCCATCACTGCAAAGGCGCAGGAACTTACTTGGCATGTGCCGTGACTGCATGTTGGGTATAAACATTTGTGCTAAAAACCTTGGAGTAACCTTTGAAAACACATTTCATGCAGGTATTCAAAAGCTAGAGAAGGGTGAAAATTCTCGTTTTTAATAAAGCAATGAAATATTCAGACTCTTGAGCGAGAACTCAAAAAAACGAATCCTCCTTCCATCCTTGTCCAAACTTCCTATAACTATGCACTGGGAGGCTTAAATAATCTTGGCAAGATATAGAAAAGGAAAATTATTTTTAAAAAGATGCCCTGGATATCGTTTCAACAAACTTTT